CCTGATGGCAGCAGACTAAAGAAGCTGTGTGTCGGGTGGGTGGGAACAAGCACTGGGAATATGAAGCACTTTCTAATGAGTCTTGTGGCATTTTCTTGAACATTGGTAGCCAAGATGTTTTTGTACACTTCTGCATTCATTCTGCTATCACCATCATTCGTTAAGCCATTAATAAAGTTGAGAGAGCCTGTTCCAGAGGCCCACGCAGTGACACCACCTCCTCCATGCTTCACAGATGAGGTTGTATGCTTAGGATCATTTGCAGTTCCTTTTTTTTCCTCCACACTTTTGCTTTCCCATCACTTAGATAATAGATACTCTTTGTCTCATCTGTCCATAAAACTGTTCCAAAACTCTACTAGCTCCCCTTTGTGCTTTTTTGCAAACTCTAATCTTGCCTTTCTATGATTGCTGCTGATCAGAGGTTTGCATCTTGCTGTGTAGCCTCTGTAATTCTATGTCAAAGTCTCCTGCGGACAGTAGATTGTCAGACCATCACTCCAGCTTTCTGGAGATTGTTGGTGATTTTACAGATACTTATTTTAGGGTTCTTTTTCACAGTTTTTATGATTTGTCTGTCATCAACGGCTGTTGTTTTTCTCAGCCGACCAGGTTGTTTTTGGGTGCTGTAGTCGCCGATGGTTTCTTTCTTTTTCAGGACAATCCAAACTGTTGAGTCGTTTTTGGTTGCTGTAGTCGCCGGTGGTTTCTTTCTTTTTCAGGACAATCCAAACTGTTGATTTCTCCATGCCCATTGTTTTTGATATAGCTCTAAATTAGTTCCTCTTTTCTTTTAGCATCCAAATTGCTTGCTTGTCTCTCAAAGTCAGCTCCCTTGTCTTCATCCTGTTTTGTGTGTCGTCATCAAATGCAAGACTCAGAATGCAGAAACAATGGCTATAACTGATACAACACATTCCCTGCTTTTAATTCCTGAACAATTAATGCAACATGACACAGCTGATCACTTAGAAAGACCTGTGAGCCAACTGTTCCAATACATATGCTCACATCAGATTAGGGAATGAAACTCTAAAAGTGCTGATCTTCTTAGTTGGTAAAGCATCTATGTGTTGAATCACCCAATAATAAAAATGTGACATTCTGTAGTTTTGTCTCATATTCATCTTTTAATCATATTTGCAGATGTCTTGACTCCACAGCAGACAAAGCAATGTTGTCATTACTGTTCCAATACTTATGGAAGGCACTGTATGATCTTTAATTGGCAAAGACATATTGATTTTTAATTACAATCAGACTTTTAGAATGGATGGATAGCGATATAAAATGTTTTATTTACATTTGCTCATACAGCGGTACAGATGGTGGTTAATTCTGAGCTAGCATGTGTGTCGTATGTCCCCATACTTATTGCTGCTGTCATGTTGTGTATTGTGGGGGATGGACAGAAGTTCATTGGACCATGGTTTACTTGTTTTATGTCCTCATACTTACTGCTGGTGTCATACTATGCATTACAGTGCAATACGTTTGTGATCTATTCATTTTGTTATTGTGAAACTATTAAAATAATGTTTAAACCCTAACCCTATCCTTTAAAGCAGCACTATGTAACTTTTGGCGCTCTAGCGGTTAATAAACAGAACTGCACACATCCCGCGGAAGAACATTCCAACCGGAGCACCTTCTCTAAGTTTACGTCTCTGGCGATTCACGCAGCTATGTGTTCCTCCGCAGCGGTGACGACCCACCAGGCTACAATAGTCCGAATATAAGTACTTATTATAAGTGTACCGTAGTGATTCGGAATAAGTACAATAATGTACAGTATTTGACAAATAATGTTTTTTGAATATTAAAGCATGTCAGCGTATTCTGTTACACCAAATACACAAAATAATGATCTTTAAAATAGCATCATATGACCCCTTTAACATCTAACTATTTTAATATAATCACTTCTAATAAATTAGATTTTTTTTCCCCCAACAGAATTGTAAACATGACGTAGTCTCCTCAGTATTATCAAGCTTGAATACATGTGAATGCTGCAGTGGACCTTTTTCAGCTTTTAAGTGGATTGGTGTGAGATGTAAGGGTAAGTATTTTGTTCTGAAAATTAAAAATTCTTATCTAAATGTTGTTGTACCATCAAAACCCCAAATTACTGTGTAATCTTGATATCCTAAATGTATCATATTTTGGCTTAAAAAAAGCTGACCTTTCTGCCTGTGTAATTGTATCTGTTCATATTTCTCAATCTCTCCCTGAAGTTCTGTTGGATGCTCTCCTACTTAATCCCCCTTCATTCTTAGTTTACTCATTTTTCTTACTTTTTTCCTCCTTTTTCTTTTCTCTATTCTCTTCCATCTTCTAGCCACACTTTCGAACACACCAATTCTCAATCGCTCTGTTATCTATCACTTTTTAAAGCAACTTTTCTTGAATCAAATGAAACCAACCTTGTTTATTATATCCTCAATCTAGTTTGTTCCTGCTTCTGGCATAAAACTTGCTACAAGAAAAATGTGAAGCCCAAACCTGACCCATTAACATCAGTAAGTGTGATTTATCGAATAGTCAGATATTTTTTATTTTTGAGTAATTTTTCCTTAGAAGTAAACTTTTTGAATGTGTACAAATAATCTTTTTGCTATTTCAGGATTCTGAAGAAGAATTTTCCAGTGAGAACTTGTCCGATCAGGACTATGTACCTAATTCTGTTTCAGAAAGTTCAGAAGTGGGCATAGTGTCTTCAGAAAATGAATGTCCTGAACAACTCTTAAACATGTCGACTACTAAAGTGTCCTGCTTTGAATCTACTGCAGAAATTCAAAATGGCAGACCATGCCAAGAAAGCATCATAGGTAAAGATTCACACCCAAAAGATCCAGTCTCCACAGCACAGCTTGAAAGGTCTTGTATGAAAGCCAAGCAAGTACAAGCATCGGAAGTTCACAACGAAGCAAGCGTTGGTAATACTGAAGACACATCTGTTGAGAATATCACAAGAACAGGGGAAGATCCATGTATACAATCTTCAAATATATCCTCTTCAGTAAGCAAGAAGAATTACTGCTACATTTGTGGAAAACCGCAGTCAAAATTTAATTGCCATGCAATGTTTCTCTGGAGGGATCTCTGGCGACACGTTCAAAATTGTCTTTCCAAACCAGTGGAAGATCCGGCAGAGCCAGGAAGAACTCGGGTCTTGTCTTTGGCAACAAGGTCTAATACAGCTCTCTGTCAACAAATATCACAGGGTGTTTGGAAGCTGTTAACTGTGATGAAAGACGATGACATCTCTGCTGCTGTGCGGAGTGACTTTTGCATTCTTCAGCTGGCCCAGTCATTTTTCAATAAACATGGACAGGATCCCACCAAATATGACTATACTCAACAGAAGCTCCGGGAAGTTGGAAGACTTCTGCTGATTCTGAGAAAATAATTTTCAGTACAGACTCTTGAAGATGCTGTAAGACCTGCAAATTTTAATGTGGTTATCCAGGCTGTCAAGAGGGTATCTGGGTTTGATGATGAAAAACACTCATACCAGACTCCAAGCCTTGCCCTCAAGTTGGGCCACTCTCTGAATAAGATATGTGACATTATACATTGCAGAGCTCTAATGGCAGAAGACAGTGAGGGGATAAAGTCAACCCAGACATTCAAAAAGCTGTATGATGCAAAGTGGTCTGAACTTGTTTCTCACACAGCTTTGACCACCTTGAATGAGGGGCACTTTAACAAGCCGTCCACCCTCCCTTTCACACAACGAATGGATGTAGAACGTCTTCACCAGCATCTTGAAAAGGTTGCCGATTTAGCCTCTGAGAACTTGAAACAGATGCCATCAGCACAAGTCTATGGAGAACTTTGCAAAGCAACTCTAGAAAAAATCATACTGTTTAACCGACGAGGTGGAGGAGAGGTTGCAAAGATGCAACTAAAAGGTTTTCTAGAGAGGGACACAGCTGCCCTACATAAAGATGTTGCTGTTGAGCTAACAAAGTTTGAACAGAAACTTTGTGCACATTTCAGTCGGGTGGAAATTAGGGGGCAAAAAGTTGCAGTCTTGTTATCGCCAGACATGGCTGATGCCTTAACACACCTCATAAGCAGAAGAACAGAGTGTGGATTCCCAGAAGAAAACACATTCCTGTTTGCAAGACCCAACTGTTTGACTCCATATCGAGGACAAGACCGTCTGAGAATTTATGCAAATGAGTGTGGTGTGCAAAACCCTGAACTCTTCCGGTCGACACAGTTACGCAAACATGTTGCAACTTTGTCACAGGTTCTAAACCTCAAAAACCATGAGTTGGACCAAGTTGCTGACTTTTTGGGCCACGATATTCGTGTCCACAGAGAGTATTACAGGCTTCCGGAGGCTACAACCCTGGAACCCAAAATATCTAAACTACTGCTTGCCATGGAGAAAGGTTCACTTACAAATCTTCAGGGCAAAACACTAGAAGAGATTGAAATTGAAGGTAATGCTATTAAGTTGCTACTAGGGATGCACGATACCACTTTTTCCAGTACTCACTCGATACGATACTTTTAGTTTTGGTACTTGCCGATACCGAGTACCGATACCGATCTTTTTATTGCATTTGTACATTTTTTAAATATTGGGTACAGAAACCAAAAGGGTATGTATAATGTTAGTTGGTTAACTTCATTTATCAAATAGATACAGTCAAGCCAGAATTTATTCAGACACCTTCAACATTATCACAGTTTATTCGCTATAGTTTAGAAATTGGTAATAAA